TCTGAGAGGACTTCTCGTACTAGAGTGTGAATGAATCCTGTTACAAAATTTCCTTAAGCTATCCATGCTAACAAGGCGATAACCATTTGCTGACTCGAAAGCGTTATAGGAATTCTCGTCTGAGAGGCTTTCGGTCTCAGAGACTTGAATCTTTCTGGAAGATGCAGGCACAGCTGGTGGTGGAATTAGCTCGCTGACCACATCGTCTTCATCGACGAAAGTAACTCCTACTGTTGGCCGTTTCTCTTTATTCTGGCGCTTTAAATCATGGACTGAAGTGCCTCTGAAACCACTTTTTCGCTTTTTCGAAACATTTTTCCTTAAAACAGCTTGTTTGCGTCCTTCTTTTGGCATTGTAATTCGAAAATATTATGGAGCAATGCGAAAGTATTATGGAGCAATGCGGAGTTTTGGCCGAGAGCTGAATTGGCTTAGTAACCTAGCTTAGAACCGAAAAGATTGTACCTGTGGAACGGACTCTGGTCACACCAGACCGTAGGAACGTGTTTTAACAAGTTATAACGCATCGATCGCAAAAATAACGCAAAATTTGAAACCGTTGCTATGGAAACCGAAAAACAACAAAAAAACAAGGCTAAGAAAACCTCATTTTTTACTGACTCGCAAACTGGAAGTGGAAAAACTGACATCAAAACTTTAAACTAGACAGATTTGCCCAACTAAAGAGGCCATCAAAACATTTTCGAAAAAAATAAAGATTTTTAATTTTTTTTGACCAGAATGCCCCCTTAAGTTGTAGAGAGACGATCTTGTAAAACGGCCCTGTGGTCCACGTGAAACACTAAGAAATTGAAATCTATTTCGAAGACATATAGGAGCATTCGGATAGAAGAGTACGATGAGAAGAGGTAAAAGTTTCATGTTTTTAATAAGGTCAAAAACGGGGATCCAGTTGAGTTTTAAAAATAAGGAAATAGAAGCCTGAGAGAGGTCGGCATCAAGGAGTATACGGCCAGCATGCTTTTGGAGACGAAGCAGTCGTAAGAGTAGATGGTGGGAACAGTTACCCCAGGCAGCGGAACAATAGATAAAGTAGTTGTTAACACAAGAATTATAGAACCTTATAGCAGAATCAAAGTTAAGATAAGGTTTAATTCGATGGAGAATAGAAAGCCTACTGCTAATTATGCAGCATATTGTATCGATGTGATGCTCCCAAGACATGTCACTGTCTATCGTGACGCCCAGTATCTTGGCATAGTCCACTTGCTCAATGGATCTACCATTGATTTGGAAATCAAGTGCCGAGCTGGTTAAAGTACAGCGTTTCTGCAGGGTCGTAATAAGTAAAGATTTAGTTTTGGTTGTGTTAAGTGACATTCGATTATTATCAGCCCACGTAGACACAGTTCTAGCAACCTCATTCGACTGAGTGCTGAGGGAAGTAACAGAGGGCCCTCCAACAAGAAGAGTAGTATCATCCGCAAACATAGTTGAAGTTACGCCTGAATGTAGGTTTAATGGCTAGTCATTGATATTAATAATAAAGAAATGTGACCCCAGGATACAACCCTGAGGCACACCTAGAGAAACTGGAAGTGCTGCAGATAGAGTGCCCCTAAACTGGGTTATTTGGGAACGCCCGGACAGATAAGAGCGAAACCAAGTCATGGTTGAATGGGAACAACCGTAGATACGAAGTTTGTTAAGAAAAGTGTCATGATCCACAAGGTCAAATGCTTTCTGTTAGTTTGTCAACTAACAGAAGTCCATTAGGGAGTTTGTTATCCATGTTGGTCAAAATGTTATCGGAAAGATCGGCGATAGCAAGCTCACACGAACGAGAACTACGGAAACCAAATTGGGAATCCAGCAGCAGCTCATGGTTGGTGCGCTCGACTCCGGATCGAGTGGTCCGGGTTCGAGTCCCGGCCGGGGACATTGTGTTGTGTTCTTAGGCAAGACACTTTACTCTCACAGTGCCTCTCTTCACCCAGGTGTTTAAATGGGTACTGGCAAGTTTCATGCTGGGGGGTAACCCTGCGATGGACTAGCATCCCATCCAGGGGGGAGTAGAAATACTCTTAGTCGCTTCATGCTACAGAAACCGGAGTTAAGCACCGGCCTGATGGGCCACTAGGCTCATAAACAGACTTTACCTTACCTTAGAATAACGAATAAGATGAACCACTCTATTACGCGCTGAACGGTACTCACGCCAACATAATGCATTGTTTGACAGAATCGCTTTTCTATGCAAATGGTTCCGCGTAGCAATTGCGGCTTGAATTTCACTGTTGAACCATTCGGGTATGAATTTCCCCTTGACACGGCGTTTTTTTTAAGGGAGCGTGTGAATCCAGAACGCTTTTAAATAAAGTATACCAATGACTTAAAGCCTCACTAGGCTCAGAATACATATCCATTGCACTCCAGGGTAAACATTCTAAATCGGCCAGAAAGGTGTTAACAGAAAAAAATTTTTTTGAGCGGAAAAACACAGGTTTGTGGCCCTCAGATTGTACCTTAATGGCTCTAGATTTTAGTGACACGTAGATGGGAAGATGATCACTTAGGGATAACGATAGAGTGCCTGATTTAAGAACATTATCTCCATTACTGACCAAAACAAGGTCCAAAAGTGTTTCAGATACCGGTCTTGTAGCATTAGTAATAAGTTGATGAAAACTATAGGCCTTGGTTAGGGCAATAAACCATTTATGGAAAGCAGATTTTGAAAAAAGATCGATATTAAAATCACCTAATAAACAAGTCCGATAGTTATTACAATCTACCTTTGCCAAAATCGAGTCCATCCGCTTAAAGAACGAAGCATCGGCGGAAGGAGGTCGGTAGACAAACGAAAATAGACATGGTCTTGATCTTGGATAGCGAAGTTCAAGCCAAATTGTTTCAATTCCAGGCATTTTGAGGTCATTCCCTCTTGATATAGGCAAATGTTCAGGAACATACACAAGAAGACCACCTCCTTTGTTAGCCAATCTATCGGCGCGGAACAAGGTATATCTTTTCACGGCAAGAGAAGCATCAGACCCCGAATCGTTTAGAAACGTTTCGGCAATTCCAGGGATTAAATTAGGTCTGTTTTTTCGTTGATTGGAAAGGGAGGATAAAAGTAGCTTTATTTTGTCGAGCTTGTTTGTCAATGAGGAAATATTGTAATGGAAAATATTTAAGCATTTATACGGAAGTTCAAGGAAGGAATTACCGTTACAAGCATAGATGGAAGATCGTGAGTTTTGAGTACGTTGCTCATCGACGTCGTTGTAGCTATAGTCTGGAGGACCAGGATTTAACGAAACTCCGGTATCACCACTTAGCAATAACCTTTGCAGCTGATAACTAGCGTCAGAGTTGTTGTAGTAACACACTTTGAGAGCAAGATATCTTCTTCGGTGAGGCAAATTACTGTCGGTAAATACAATATGGCGTCGGTTCAACTTGGTATCCAAAACCAAAGAGAACTCGCATAGAAACACATTGCTCATCGTAAGAGATTCAGGATTCAACCAAAAAGATCCAAAAACATTTAGATCTTGATTAATACTTTGTTGACGGTGCAGTAACGGAAGAAAATAGACGGAGTGGATAACTGCGCGTCCACTTGTCGCGGCTCAATCACGAGAGTGCTATCACTCGAATCAAGTCTCAACGTCTAATCACAATCGATACGAGAAAAATAATTCTTGCCATTCAATTCTCCAGGAAAACAACTCTTAAGTTTCAAGTCATTGACCAACGACTGGTCGTCACATCCTTAGACAAATGATTGCCCTTTTTTATGAGTAAGAGTTGATCCCATCACGGCTCCTGGCCGATTGAATTGGTTCCTTTTCCTCTCTTAGTAAACACAGTTTTAAGGTGTCATTACGAAATATTTATGACACTTCTTGTTGAAACAACTGGTGGTTTTGGAAGGAAAATCTTACAGAGAATACCCTAATCACATCACTGACTACTCCTTGTATGCGGAGACATATAAGCATGGGTAATTAAATTAAAGCTCTTAATGCGAACCTTGACTTTCTCTTTTTTGTCTCTAATTTTCAGGAAGATTTCAGTAGTTTTCACGACACCGAAGGTAAATCTGCTTCTGATGATATTCTATAAGATTTGATGAATGTTAGTACTTAGTATTCTACATCGATTAACTGTCCGATGGACACGAATTTTATCGATGTATCATGTAGGTAAACTTTTACTTTATCTAAAAGTAAGGTAGAATTTCATCGACGGACATCTCATATTTTTCAGTTGAAGACTTTGACCTGGACACATTTGTTGGTGACAGACTCTTTGAGGAACAGATTGGAAAAAATGAAAAGGTACTTAAGCTTTTATCATCGACCAATGACAATCGAGGACAAAATAAGGTGGGTTGTTCAAATTAAATGGAGCATTTACTTTAACGCTCTCTTTAATCAAACGATTTGATCGGATGTAACGATTTGAATGCAAAAATACAGTTGCATACCATAGTGAAGTATATAGATTTATACAGATAAATAATTCTAATAAAGATTAGATGGCGAAATTTGTCTATATGCAAAACTAATCGCTTCAAGAGATTTATTTAGCTGCCAGCTTAATGAGTTTTCAAAATGGCTCAATTGAAAATATTTTTCGTACGTTAGGTTATCCTTCGGAATTTCATGATGTAGCTAACAGCAAATTTTTACTCGCACTTTCTAATGGATAAGAAAATGTGATAACGGTTCTTGCCGGCTTATCCTTTTCCTTAACGTGTTTTAGTTACGGTCAAGTCAGGTCACAAAAGATCTTACAGATTCTTCCGGACAAACTGACAGTGGTGCTTGCTCAGAGGGTGAGCTTTATTGAGTGCAATAATAATAATAATGCAAAGAGAAGCAAAAACCAACGATAAAAACCGACGTTTCGGTGTCATCATGACGCCATTGTCAAGGAGAAATAAAAATTACAAAATTTGCGGCAAGGTGTAACACTAAATTAGCATAAATATGTTAGGAGCTGATTATACAAATACTTTTACGCGAACTGAATCGCTTTGCACGTTCAGAGTGGGTTGGTTTTTGCTTGTCTTTTCATTTCCAAATCTTTATTGATAATAATAATAATAATACTAAAAATAATCATAGTCATAATAATGATAACAATATAATTATAATAGAAATAACAATAACACACATACATTTTAGTGAACTGGCAAGACAAGTTACCAGTTGAGATAGGTCATACTAAAGATACCGCGATAAGCTCTTGCACTTCTGGCATTAGTTTTATGGTCAACTCGTTCAATTGTGTGATAAAAGGTTGCGTTGCGTATTTAACATATTCATATGGGATATAAAGTTTAATCTTCATACAGATAACACGGCCATTGGGCAACCAGAATCTACATCAGTTCGTGAGTCGAAAATGGATCCCAGTGAGGGGCCCTTAACGGTAAGTTCATCAAATTTGTAGTTATATTTTGGCCTTTTGATCCGTTATTAGTCTCGAATCATAAGAACTTAAGGGAACCTCCACTATCTTAATAGATAGCGCTCAAAATGTTCCAAATGTACTTCTCAATAGATCCGGCCTAGAACTTCTCGCTAATAAATTACAAGAGTTGCCATTGAATTAAGATATTACCAATTGGTATTTAAACTTTTTAAAGGATAGAAAACAAAGGGTATGTTGCAACAACTTTGAGTGCAACTGGAAACCGGTTAACAAAGGGTCAACTCAAGGTAGCGTTGGCGGTCCTCACCTTTTCAGCATCTTTCTCAATAATCTTAATGCGCTATTGAAGTACACGGATGATTCGACAATTATTGCTCCTGTATGGAAGGAGGTAGACCACTCCGATCAGTTAGTGTCACAGTTTTTATATTGGGCGAATACAAATGGAATGTCTTGCAATCCAGGCAAATGTAAAGAGTTGGCGATCAAAAAGAGAGGCAACCGCGATCTCTATTCACCTCTCGGGATGATAGTAAGCTGTAATGAAGTAGAGATTTTGAGGGTCACCTTTCAATGCGATAGCAAATTTTCAGTGCACTTGAAGAATAAACTTATCAAAGCTAACAAATCCCTACGTATCCTTAGAACACAGGGTAAAGGGGGGGTGCAATCAATCAGAACTGCACCTTCTCTTTAATACAATAGTTCTACTTAATATTGATCACGCATTATCCGTCTGCTCCGCACCCGAGTCCGATCTTACACCTGTACAGTGTTTGTTAGACCGCTTTTTTAAAAGGAAATACACGTCTGAGCCTGTAAGTGTTTACGATCTCTTAGAGAGGGAAGACCGTAACATTTTCAAGAAAGTTTCTAATGCTGAAGAACATCCAGTTTTACCCACTATGCCTCGTGTTAAACCGTCCAGTTACGATCTTAGGAAAGAAACTTGTTTTAAGCCTAAGATTAACGCTATGCGTTTTAAAACTATTTAACTAACCGTTCAGTTTTTAAATAGGAATTAGCTTTGTTATGTACTAGATTTTTAATTCTTACTTTTTACCTTTTTAAAATTTCTTACACTTACTTGTTCTAAAAGATTTGTATTCTTATCATTTAGTGAAATGGTGAATAAAGACATTATTATTATTATTATTATTATTAATATTATTATTATCATTAAATCCTAAGTGAAAGTGAAAGCTACTGCGCTCTACGACGGCGTCCAGATTTCGAACAAAGAAGTCGCCGTCAAACTAAAATTTGTCATACGCAAGGTTAAAAACGAGGTTTCCTTTTATTTAGGCAAGTACCAGCCTTGATACAAAAACATTAACAATCGCCTCGAATCGCCGGGGCTTAATCGTAATGTTGAATGCTGTCTGTCGATTCTTTTTCTTGCTTTTCAGCACCTTTTCCGGTTTATCCATTTTTGATGCGGGTTCTTCCTTTACCTTTGGCAACTTTACTCGTTATAATGTCGTTCTCCTCAACGCTCCACTGATTGAAAAAAAAATTAAAAAAACGTGTCTGCAATGCGTTACTTTACCCGGGAAATTGTCCCATTGGTTTGGGGTTTAAGTAGGCGAGATAATCGCCTCGCATTTGATTTTGGGAGGAATACAACTACATTGAGCGAATTAGTATTTAGATTAGACCGATTTTCGTCAAATTTTGCCAAATTATCCTTGGAATAATAACGAATGAAAGTGTGTCGGGAAATTTTTGGTATTTGAATATTTGTTCCGTGGCTTCCATTCACGCAACGCGCCTCGCATATATTTAGCTACTGCAACTTTAGATGCCGATATCTACACAATCAATCAAAGTATCGAAAATGCCTGACAACATTTTGTTGATTGATGCCTTGTAAATAAGACTGAGCAGCCATTTTGCTTGTGCGACGGCGTCCGATGCCGATGAACTTAATGAGGAAACCTTGGTCGTTTCACGTCTTACCCGCTCCTGACACTACCTTACAATCGAACTTCATTGTTTGCTTCTTCCGTGCACCTCAGTTTATGAAGGGGTCAATGTTAAACAAATCAGTGATTAATTTTGAATCAATTTTAAGGATATTCCCTATTATTAAATTTTCAAATCCAGATATTGCATTTGGTGTGTTCTGATTGGTTCATTCAACTCCGGTCATCAGATTATATTCTGCGTCACTTATACGGAAATGTGTTGCTCATGGAATAATTGTTCATCACTAAATCCATAGGATAAGTTGAAATCTGGGGTTTTAAGAGGGGGAAATTTGAGAATTACCTGAAATGGTCGTAGACAAAGGTTTTTAACCATGTTCTTTTTTATGCATAACATTCCGGAGAGTACGTTTTCTTTCAACATGCTTACCGTGTACAAGGTCCCTCTTCTCTCAAACCCCCTCTCTTCTGTCTACTAGTTTGGAACTAGAGAGAGAGTTTTCACTCGAGGATGAGAATGATGCATGCCAACATCTAAATCAAAATTAAGCGAAGTAAACAGGCAAAGGGACACGGAAAATTGACCTTTTAAAGTGTCTTGAGACAAACGATTTCTTTCCATTTAATAGGGCGGTGGAAAATTCACTGCAGAAGTTGATATAGAACTCCCACAGTCGATGGAAATTGGTTGGGCAACGTTTGGACATACGGCGGTGAAAGTGAAAGTAGCTAGGGACGGTCTTAGCATGTTTGGAAATGAAATTCCTGGTAAGTATCCCTTTGTCTCTCTTGGTTTAAAAATACTTGTAATCGATCTTCAACAGCACTTCGCACTGAGAGGTGGTGTCAGAAGGTTTAACGTCTCGCAGATTTGTACAATGTCTATTCCCATCCATTTTCCTTTCATGGTCAGTCATTTATAGTAGGAGTAAAGCTACAACCTTCAACCAGCTTCAAAAGGAGTTGACACATCATTTCGGAAGAGTTCTATCTATGTGAAGAATAACATTCCTAGTTTTACCTCACTATAAATCCTTAACAGCCCCCCTCCCTCATTAAATGTTAGCTAAAAATTCATGGAATCACAATGCAACTAGGCTTTTACCGATTGTGCTCGTAGAAAAAGCATTAGATGCTCAAAGCAGTGTTTGTTTTTTGCCAAAAAAGTGCTAATATAATGCTACTCGTGGGCTACATAAAAATGCTCACTTTTTTCCGATTTTTTTAAACATAGAATATTACATTTTTCAGATTTTCAGTTAAATTTTTTAACAACAAAATTTAAAAAAAACTCTTCGACCACTTCGAGTCGGTAGGCCCGTTCAGTTATTGATAGAGTGCTGTCTTTCTGCGTCCTGACCCCCGCTCTCAAAGCCTCCATAATCGTCTGATCCTTCAGCTTAGACTTCTTCAGTTTGTCTCTACCATTTCCATGTTTCTTTGAAGCCAAAGTTGAGCTTCAGTCAAATGTCTTCAATAACCCAGGAAAAGCTAATCTTTTGTACACGTGCACCACTGAACTGGAGGAAGCAAATCCAAGTTCGAGTATCAATATTTCAGTTTAACAAAGAGAAGTTGCATTGAAACCACTGGTGCCAAAGTTCGGGTAACAATATTGTGGTTTAACAAAGAAAAGTTGCATTGAAACACTACTGGTGCCAATTTTAATGATGCCTACCTGTTAGTGTATCAATGAAGAGCTTGTTCATGGTCAAGTCAACATATAATTCCGGAGGTGAGCCAAATGCAACGATTAAACAAACAATTTAAGGACAGCTTGTAACGAGAAAATTGTAAAGATTTGTCTTGACGTCAATGGCTTTTTCATTCCTCCACGTGAAATAGGTGGTGACAAGCCAGGACCTGTTTCCGTCATCTTTACCACACTGTACGGTGATCCCGTAGCAAAGGGGGTATATACTTACAAGGAAAGGAGACCGGAATATCCAAAGAATAATGTGCAGAATAAGCACCCTAAACGAACGGTGAACGATGTTGTCGTGGTTTTGGAGGAGACTATAAAGCGAATCAAGAGTTTCAGTAACGAGAGTCAGGGAAGTGAAGAAAGAGCAAGCGAATATTATCATCAAATAGGTAAATTTCCATCTATTTCAAGCAACACTTGTCCTCACAATTTTCTCCCGAAAGATGAATAGTCTGTAAAGAGCTGAGAATGATTCAGAACGGAAAGGAACATGTTTGTAAAAATGCTGATCTGTGATCCCTCTCTCAAGAATACAATTCCACTAATGTTTTTTCCGGCATTGGGGTTTACTCTTTACTCTATTTGGCCAAACGAAACGAAGCGAAATCAGGGGAGGGATCCCCTTAAAACGTATTTCTGTGACACGTGAACAGCAAAATTGTTAATGAAGGTGAAAATGTTCCATTCCGCCAAAAAGAGGTTCTCAATAGGTGATGGCTTTTAGTTGTTACCAAACATTTAACTTTTGCACGATTACTACTTAAAAATTTTCAAATTTTACGCCTAAAGGCTAAATGTTTTGACTGCTTTACGGCTATCGGTTAACCCTACTGAGACCCTCAAAATAGTAATTCCCTAAAATAACTATTTTCTGTAATATAATTCAGTACGGTTTAAGAAATAAGAGGTGACAAAGATCTTCTGGAATATACTTATATGTAGTGTTTAAACGTATTTTCGTGACATGAAAACTGTGACATCGTCGCCGAAAGGTGAAAATAGTCCATTTCGCAAAATAGTATTTCTTCCAAAATTATTACCTTGCGAAACATACTTAATATGAGGAAGCCAAAATCTTTGATAATATTATATCATATGTGACACGAAAACAGTAACAATTTTTCTTTGCGAAATGACTGACAATCGGGATAATCAGTTAGCGATTACTGCCAAAATCCTAGTGAAAGTTCTCTTTACTTTTAGACAAATACCGCATCCATCCTTTAGTTTCGTTATATCTCATTTGGTTTGGTTTGGTTTGGTTTCGCAAAAAAGAGTGAGCCTTCGTGTCGGCAACAACAATGGTGAAATTGTTATATGGTGAGATTATTCTTGAGAGAGGGATCACAGCTCAGCATTTTTACTTAACATTTTTACCGAGACTTAGCTCGACATTTATCCTTTCTAACGAGAAACTTTTTTATTATGTCATATGTAAAATTCTTGCGTTGTCATAATCTTCCCTGATAAAAAAGTGCTAAATTTGTTTTAAAAAAAAAGACCTCAAAAAAAGCTGATCAACCTCGACAACATGAGAAAACTTTAGCCTTTTGAGATATGTATTGACAGATTATCCCGTCTTCATTTTTTTGGGCTTGTTTGATTTAGAGACACTGTTTCAACTGGTTGATGGTCTTCAGAGTGTGGTTGATACTGTGGCTTCAATCTACTCATCGGCTAGACCGTACATCTCTAGGGAATCCTGGGAGGAGATAGCCTTGTATCTTGAAGAAATAGCCAAAAGGTACGCAAATGAACATTTAAAAGGAAGTAAGTTTTGATCTAACACATAAAACCGCGCATTATCTGGTTTGCAAGACAATTTACCTCGTAAATATTTCATTAATGGTCATCACTCGGAGTTAGATTGATGCGCTGTCACTTTTAATTGCACAGACTCCCTGCGGAAGATGAAACAATGCCCTTGCTGTCAGCTGGAGATGTTGGAAAAAACCAAACACAGTCTTGTAAGAATAAACTAAAAACAACACTTTGTTATTTTCTCAAGTAATATTGGTGAACTCGGCTAAATAATCACTAAAACACGAAAACAAAACAAAACTAGATTAAAAATGATTCAAGAAAATGTTTTACCAACAATGAAGAACGAAAAGCGGCTGTAGTCCTTTTGACTGCATTTTATCTTCCCCTTAAGAAGTAATGTTGGAATCGAGAGGAATGTCTGGTCTCAACAACAGCGCATTGATAAAGGGTGAAAAAGGAATAAATGAATGAAAAAGTGAAAAGAATGATTGAATTAATTAATTACCCTAGCAGAACTTAATTTCGCGTTTTTGGCGAGACAGTATTTCAATAGGCAAACATGCAAATAGGGCATTGAATTTCTTGATTGAAGTGTTTTCAACTTTATTTTGAATTTCAAGAAACTTGTTTCAGTTTATTTCGGAATTTTAAAAAGTTGGAAGTTTTTAAAATTCAAAATGCACGAAAGACATTCGCAGGAATTTCTATGAACCAAGAAAATTCAGGTGAATTTGATAAACATTAACATTACACAAGATACACAATGGAACTTACCAGCAAAACCAGTCGACTATTTGACTGTGTATTTTTCGATACATATCCTGTATGTGTTGTTGTTATTACATGTTCATCACTTGTTATAGGATTTGAATTCATATGGGTATCGCGTGTTTAATATCTCGGGTCTTCAAATTTGCAATTTTTTTATCATCGCCATAAATGATTTTTAATGTCAAACCATCGGTGATTTTTAATGTCAAACCATGGATCACTTTTAGTGTCAAATCAAGTGGCGGAAGATCAAGCTATCGAGGAGGAGCATCTTGGAGATGCAGAAATATCAGAGGAAGATTCTGAGAGTGAGAGTACCGATCGTAAAGGTGATTTGGAAAGAGATATCGATGAAAGGAGTTTATTAAAAGATGTGCCAGGTGTTCAGCTACTGCTTGAAGAGGTCTCAAATTATCCCATCTCAGAGTCGGGATATTTTGGAGATGCTGAAATATCTGAAGATTCAGAGGAAGAAAGCAGTGATAGCGACGTTCATGTGGAACTAGACACTGATGAAGGTAAAACTCGTACCATAATGATTCTATTTAGCGCCCGGGGCGCTTATTTACTTTTCGTAGATGAAGGGAGGGCGCTTATTCGAACGAAGGCGCTTATTGGGGACTGGGCCCTTATTTCTTTCTTGAAAAACAGAAGAATGTGCGAAAGAAAGCTTTGATGTCTACTTAAAAACGATCAAATAGACTGGAAAACGGGCTTGCTAACCCTCTCTGGAAAGAATGAACAGTCAAGCAATCGTCATAAAATTTTAGATCGTTGATTCGTTCGAAGAAACTGTGCACTCACATGGACATAACAGTTGATAGACTGAGAGGTGGGCCGCTGTTTTTCTTATAGGGCTTGAGTGAGCAACTAATGAAAGATGAACCACGGTTGATCTCAATGTCCATGTACTCTGCAGTGCTACCACTGAGACAGAATAAGGGACTCTTATTGACATGGGGCACTTATTGGAATGAGAGTGCTTACTCAAAAGGAGCGCTTATTAGAATGGGCGCGCTTACTAACAAAAACCAAATTCGAGGGGGGAGGCTTATTAGAGAGAGAGCGCTTATTGGAAGTTTGGTGCTAACTCGAGTCATTACGGTAATTGGTTATCAACGATAAGTTGATAATTTACAACCATTTTATTCGCTCGAGATCTTTATTTCCCAAAATCAACTACAACGAATAGAAACTGAGAGTAGTACAAGTCCACAAGTCGTTCAAAACTCAATAATATAAAATTACTGGCTCAAGTTTTTATTGAATAATGACACCAATGAGGCAAGCAGCCAGTCACTCACTCTACCCACTATTCATTTCGAAAAAGATAGAGCTTACTTTCCTTTCTATATGGACCGACCAAGACCGGTAGACGCGTGAGTGGATTATACAAGTTTGTTGTTAAAATGATCTCATCTAATTAGGCTGTAGGCCGTCTACAAAAACTTCTAAATATGTATAACTTTATTTCGGTTGATCTTCACAAACCTTTCTGTTTTGAATTTTTTCAAGGGCTGTTCTCACACACATTTCTCTCTATTCGGAAAACGAAAATCGGATAGTAAGACTGTTATGATGCTGATAATTTTCCCCTTTCCGATTTCCTCATAACCATAGAAACTTTAGTTCATTTCTTTCTAAATTCTTTGAAACCACCCGGTCGATGTTAAATTTAATGCCAACTTTTGAGTCACGGTTGTAGTACATGTAACTTATTTGTGAGTTTTAAAGAAGAATAATTAAATATTTCTTTTTTCGCTAAGAAAGTAAACTCTTTTCCTGCAAGATTTATTCAGTTCAAGTCTAACTTTGTAGTAATTTGGATATATCAACAAAGTTGAAATGGTAAATTGGCCACCGTAACGATTACAAAAGCTGACGTTTCGAGCGTTAGCCCTTCGCTAGTCATTCGCTCCGACGAAGGGCTAACGCTCGAAACGTCAGCTTTTTTAATCGTTACGGTGGCCAATTTACCATTTCAACTTTGTTGATATATCCAAATTATTTCGTTACTCCCACCGACGCAGCCCCAAACAGTTTCTTTCGAAACTATCAGCCTTTATTCATTTGTGCTACAACCAAGCGCGTTGAGCAATTGTTAAAAGAAA